GGCCGCGGCTGCGCTGGGCCGCGGCCGTGCTGCCCGTCGGCGTGTGCGAGAGCTGCCGCCTCTAGCTTAGCATCCCTGAGGATCTAGCTGCTGCATGCACCTCCAGCCTTGACTTCTCTCTGCAGGCATCTAAAGTAGCAGCTCCTGTAAACCCAGCTGCACCAGAGGGCCATGCTGGGAGATGATAAGCTTGCTGTAAAACTTGACAGTAGTTTGAAGTCTCATATCACTCTTGCCAGTGAGGCTATAAACCTGAAATAAATCCATTGAAGGCAGCTGAGAGGAAAAATAGACCCTGATACCCCCAGAGCTCAGTGAGAGACCGGTCAAAGACAGAGAAAGATCAAGCTAGGAGAGAGGTGAGAGAAACCTGACATGCTATGTCAGAACAGCTGCTTTATAGCTCAGGGTGGGTTCTAATAATACACCACAGCCTCTGGCAGTCGCTAGTGAACTGCCTCTCCAGGGCCCCAAGGTTACTTACTGAATTACAAAGCATGATGAGCATACAGTCTATTTTTGTCACCTGCGCAGGACTGAAGGTAATTGTCTGTGGTGAACATAAACAGGAAGACTTCCGTTCTCATCTGGGGAGGTAGCAGCACTTCCAGAGGAACCAGCTTCCTCTGAACACACCAGAATGCTCGCACACTGGACGAAAAACAACCTCACCAGGGTGTCACGAGTTTGCAGAGCTATGGCTCCTCTGCCTCCTTACCCTCACTCTGCTGCGGCCCAAATTATAGTAAGCCTAACCTTCAGGCTGTTTTTCTTGAACAGTTCTCACAGTTGCAGCTGAATGTCTCAGTAGATTTACTCATGGGGTCTGTTTTAATCACACTAAGCATTGCGTGGGTACAAATGAGTAATGTTTCATACTGAAGTTTCTAAGGGGGTTGGCAGCAGCAAATGCTGGTGTTTCACTGCAGTATATGACAAACAGTTTGTGAAATGCTCTTGGAAAGGTCTGCTAAGCGCCATTGGGAAGGGACTCATTTCCTGAGAGAGCTTGTCTCACCCAGGGAAATCCCAAATTCAATGAGCTCAAATGATCTGGAGAAAAGAGTGGAGGAGGAGTTGTAGGAGGCACACATCTCGGTGCACTCACCACTGCAGGTGCCAATTTTTGTCACAATCATCTTGTTACCTTGTTCTTGCCATTCAACACACACCTCCTGCTGTCTCTTACCTTATGCTCAGATTAGAAACGTTTTGGGCAGATTCTTTTTCTATTTTGTTTACACTAATTGCAGATAGGAGCTTCTCAGTACAGGAGATTGTCTAAACATCATCAGTAAAGAATTTCTCAGCTCTAGGATAGACTAGAATAAGCCCAAACTACCTTTACCCTTACAAATTCACTACCTTACCAGCTCCTGGCACCTTCCAGCCGAGGATCATGCAGCACTTAGTGAGCCATGATGCAGCTATTGTACTGGCAATGTAACCACTAGCTGAAAAGTCATGTCATAAGCTGATGGGTTTCAGTGCTATATCCCTCAGTGCTGCTGAGCTAGTGGTTGGCATATACCTCCAAGGTTTGACATCTTGAATCAGAGCTGAATGCCTTCGTGGAGGAAATGCTGTACTCAAGTATAACTTTTTATCAGGCCAAGTTCAAAGGCCTGAGAGGTCAGGTGAGATAAATTAGCGGTTCCTAATGGCTTTTAAGTCTGTGAATTTATGAATAAGTAACTTTGGCTTGAATGTCTATGGTAGACAGAAGCTCCTTTTGGGGATTAAGGACTCTGCTTTGGAGGAACTGATGTTGCACATGCATGGGATTCTCCAGGTCTACCCACAGCATGCACAGTGTACCTAGCAGTGCCAATGAATTACATTCAGTATGCAAGGAAGCAACACTGTTAGGCCTTGCTTTGTCAAGCTCATGATTATTTACTTCTTGAATCACTAGACCTATGTGTGCTAGATGTACAAGTCGCTTCTTGCCCCAGAGAACTGGTAGACAAAGTGCTGCAAATTGTGTACCTGCTCGAAAAGCTGGCTAGGCACAATTCAAAACAATTACACTGACAAAATAAAATTCAAATTGGTTATTGGCTCAGTCAAAGTAAATATTCTGGAACCCCTCACTTCACTGTTCCTTTTTGAATCTCAGGCTCGGGAAAAAAGAATTAACTAACCTGAGCAGGTAAGTCATTAATTCTTTTTAATGTTATTTTTCAGTGTTGCTTTAGCCAGGCTCCCTAAGGTCACTTGACCAGTCAGAAGCATGTGGAAGAGAACACAGAATTGCTCTCTTGTGGAAGAGAGCACAGAACAAGCAATTCTGTGTTCTGTCAACTAGTCCTCCTGCCTTTTTCTCTCCAGCGGTTCTGATGATTCTCATTCTCACGTTTATCTAATTCCGTGTCCCACAGTAACGCAGAGAAAGTCACGGACTGTGTCTAGGCAGGTTGCTGATGTGAGCTCCTCTGATGAATCACACTGGAAAAGATAAATGATGGGGAACGTAACTGCATGAACGTAACATCCCTGCCTGGCCAACAATTGAATTTAGATGAGGTTTTATGCAGTACTTATCAATCCATGATGTCAATACTTGCCCACGCTATGAAAGCTACATCTTACTGTCAGTGGGATTAGCAGTAAAGGCCACTGAAATGGATAGCTGGGAATGATTTTAATTTAGCCCAGGAAAACCATGCACAGCACTGTTTTGGGCATTTGAGGCTAAGAATGGCTTCAGGCAGGTTTTACTCATTGTAGCTGAAATTATCCATGTCCAGAGGCATCCAGCTGCAGATCAGTGGGAATGATTTGTGGCTTTAGTACAGGCAAAGCTGAAGAAACAAAAGCACCAGAAGTGGAATGAGAAAATGCACCCTAAAAATTTATCTCAAGCTTGCTTATTTGATCAAATGATTCTCTCAGGACTGAAAGTGCCCTTCCAACCTGCTAAAGTGAACTCAGATGTCAAAGGGTACATGCAGCACCCAAACTGCCTGTGGCCAAAGGAGGGCACTTTCATCCAAAGGTACATGCTGACAGACTTGTGACAATAACCTTTCTTGGCAGTGGAAGAGACATCCAGGTAAATGCAAATACTGGTTGCTTACAGATAGTAACATCCACTGCTTCTTAAGAATATTTTGCCACAAGGTCCACTCTGCTGACATAGATTTGCTGACCCTTTGGTGACAAAGGGATGCAAGATCTCTAAGAAGGTGTGAGCCAGAAAATGAGTCACTGAATCAGGACACTGAAAACAGCCTCCATGCTGCTGGGAAGAACAGAGCAGCCTGTGCTGAGATGAATGATATTGCAATTTGCCTCATCGAAATTGTAGGTATGTCATCCAGACCAACTTTATGTCATCTGTCTGCCCTGCTTACGTACTTATCCCTTTGGATGTTCTGCCTTTATTTCTCAGTTTGAAATGAACTCTGTCTTGTGTCACCAGTAATTGCACGCTCTTTCTCCCTACTGCCCTGGTAATAGGCTGAGGGAATCTCAAGTTGAAGTTTCACATGCATTTTCTTTAGCAGACATTTTTAATTCAGGTCTAGTTATTTTTAACCTGGCTCAATTTCCAAATCAGATTCACTGCCTGGCTGCATGATAGTTGTACCAACACGCTTAAGCGAAACAGAAGAGAGTGTGCGATAGCTGTGAAAGAAGATATAGGTGGCCAGAGGAGGTAGGGCTTAAGCTAGCATTGCTGCCAAAAGAAATTATTGTGAAGATAAAGTCTTGGCTTCTGACTTTTCATGTGCATTCACAAAGAGGTCTAAGAAACTGCCCTAATGCACACAGCAGCCAGGGATATTGTTTACATCAATGAGCTGGAAACGCATTGCCAGTCCTGGGAATATTAGTGATTTCCTATGATTTCACCTCAACTTACCTGACCTAAACAAAGGCAATTTAGATGTTGGTGGTCATTATCACTCTCTGCCACTTGAGGTCACCCCTTTCTCTCTCCAAGTGGTGCAAGAGCAAAGAATAGATTTAACAGCATAAACAGGATGGTTCAAAGTGCTAATAAGGGACCAGGGCCGGTGAAACAGCCACCAGTTTGCCTTCAGTAAACGGAGAGGAGATAGGACTTGAGCCTGTGGTGAGTGCATCTCATTCCCTTAGCAAAAGAAATATGGCTAACCTGAGGCATTGATTTTTCCAGGGTCTCATCCTGGCCTCCTGCTATCCAACTCCCACTCTCATAGGAGTCAGTGAGAACTGTCAATCCTGAGACCCTCAAGACCCTGAGGTCTTGTGGGAGGCATTGAGGACTCTACAGTTTGGTCCCTAAGACAGTTTTGGTTCTAACATACTGCGAGGTGTGTGGGGGGGAGGCTGTGGCGGGGGGGATGGGTGTTCCTGGATGCTTTGGTTTTGGAGCTTTGATACAGAAAATAGTCTGACAGAAATTCAGAGACATGAGTAGCAAAGCTGTGACTGTCCAAGGAGCATAAATGTATCGTGGCTTGTAGAGACAGATAACAGCATTTATTAGTGAGCGATAGTAACGAAAATGGAAATGCTTTTGGGAATACAGTCCTTTGACTCTGAAACAGAAAAAATCATGCTCCAGGGTTAAATGGCGCTGGGAAGACTTACTCTGTTTACTTTATCAAGAGAAAGAGATTATTATTAAGAGATTATTACAGGTATTAACCTGTAGAGCTGAAAGGGGTAACTAAGAGTACAAGTGGTAAGTCCCTGTGTGTTAAAGACACAGGTAATTGTCACCTGTGGAACAGTGAAGTTTTTTATGGCAAGGCAAGATGGAAACTGTAAAAGGCCATAAAATCAACATCCACATGGTTAAACTGTGAGGGAAGCAAGGTTTATTGAGAGAGCTGTTTTTGTTATATCTGCTGTTGCACTGTAGTTGAAAACAACTGCTTAGTTTTTGGGATTAGTTTCTCTTCATGAGCTTTTTATTCCCCTAAAGCATATTTACTTTTCCAGGTTACTATGCTTCTCTGTAAACCAGGTCTCCCAAGGAAGAACAACTCCTAAACAATCACAGATAAAATCCTATTATTCATAAATGTTAAGGAATTGTAGAGCTCTCACCCAATCACACTATTCCAACAGATCACAAACATAAAAGACTCAACTACTGCCCAAACTAAATTCTGATCAAAACAGAAGTAATTCCACATGGGGGTGGAGGTCACATAATTTTCCCTTGCTGAGTTTATCCCGAACTGGAAATTCTCAAATGATAAATCATGAAGATTTTTAAAGTAAATTCAGTTGATTTTTCATCTTAGGATTTAAAACAATTATATGAAAGACAGGTGAAGGTTAAAGTTAAAAAAAAAAAGTATTTTATACTAGAAATTCAAGGCTAAAATTTCTCAGACAACCTTAAGATTGACCCTACCACCTCAATAATCACTGGTCCCCCTAGCTAGGCTTCCAGATGGGATTAGCAGATCTGCAATGATCATGGTGAAATCCCTTCATCTGATAGCAAACATTCGATGGTTTGCTGGGGCTGATGAAATCCTGATTCTGAAATAACAAACTCGGAAAAGATGCAACTCATCTTTACCAGCACAGTCCTAAGTAAATTCTGACCAAAATCGTGTGAATTAAACTATTAGAAAATTCTGGCAAACACACCCATTCCCTCAGTGCACAAGCTGGATGCGAAATCCACTTCCTATTGGAAGATTCATTCTCATGGCAGAAGGGGGAAAATCCTTAATGCCACTGAACCAGCTCAGCATCCTATACGGACTTGCCTCAGTGCCATAAAAAGCTGGCTCTGGACTGGGTCATCGAGCAGGCTGATTGATGTAGAAAAGCAACATGCAAATTATCACCTGGTTACTTCTACAGACAGCAAGACCATAAAAAGTGGGTCATCTAACAATTTAAAAAGGCAGCAAAAAGCCAAGGTTTTCCCAGGTTTCTATACTGAGGGGAGTGAGGACAGATTTCTTGTTCAGACCTAACCAGCTACTGGACACTTCTGCTATAGCATTCTGACTCCTTTCTGCTATCTTCTAGGCCAAAAACTATTTGTGTCATGGAAACAGCCACAGGCTTCCACTGAGAGCAAAGCTGTGTGCTGCATGAATAATTAAAACCACATCTCTGACAAAAGATTATCACCTCCACTTCACAGTGCAGAACTGCAACAGAGAGTCTGTTCAACATCACACAAGGGAACTGGAATAATGCTGGAAACTGGACCCAGATCTTGAACCACAAGTCCAGCTTTCTCCTCATTCATACAGCTTTCTGCAGCTCTTATTGCTTGGCTTGCTCCTTCTTTCACCCCAGCTGCTAGGCTTTTCTCACCAAGAGTTATACTTTTCTGGTCAGCGGTGTTCATTCCCCATCTCCAGTAATGCATCAAACACAGGGTTCCCTTGGTACCTATGGGAGAGGAATAGGCGTTTCTCTGAACAGGAGTTATCTTATTGCAGTTCATTTAAATACGTATCTGAATTTACTAAAGCAGTCCTAGAAAGCAGTCACTGACCAGACTTCACAGATGTGCTTCTTCCAACAGAGCAGTAACCCCCTACCCCAAAACAAAATGCTGCAGCCTTTGAAGAAAAAAAAAAGCAAGTACAAGATTTAAATAAGAGAAAGGTCAGCAAGCTCTATGAAGGCATTGTCTATGCAAGGAGCATCTGGCAGCAGGCATCTCCTGACCTTACCTAGCCTGAACCGACTGCTAATGGACATGTATCCTCTGCTGCTGCTGCAGAGCCATCCTGCTCCTTTCTCTGCAGGGCTGACTCACTCTGCAGTGCACGATCACAGGCACACAATCTGCCACACTAGAGAAAACTATTTATGTGCCAGTAGACACCACTTCTTTTGAATCAGGCACTCTAGAGCCCGTCCTTTCATGGTCTGGGGCTGCCTGTTCTCCTCTTCTAAACCAGCTATAAAATCAACTATGCTTGCCCAGTGGTCATAAACATTTAAGGAAACTACAGCATAATTCTCTCCTAGCAATGTTTGCAATGAGTGTCTTCTCATGCCCTGGCAAAGACTGCACTCTGCTAGCAGTAAATGAAAGAAAGGGACTGAAAGATCCATAACTTTCCTAATGCACTGAATCATGTGAGAAATCTGCTGACACAACAGCATCAACAAAAGACCTGAAATGCAAGTTTTTACCTGGGAGTCATCAATGAGGGTCTAGAGCATGACCACCAGAGCAAATGTACGGCCAAGGCAACACACTCAGACTGCTAATATCGTTCTTAACTCTTTTGGTGGTTCTCATTGCAAAGTAATCGTCTCCTTATGCGTGCTTACCCTAGCTTTTGTTGTATACTGTTCCCCTGCCTTGTGTGGGCTTATATAATAATGAGAAAGGCTTGACATTCTAAGGCACGAAACAAAACGCCTGGTGATAGGATTTTGCCTGCATTTGGTTATGTAAGTATCTATCATGAACCTGAGCTTAGTAACTGCCATCTTTCTGAAAGATGTTACAGATGCTACAATGTGATCCTAGAGAACCTACAGAGAGGTGCCTTCAAATCGCTTTTTCTTCTGGAGACGAGAGTTACTACTAGCATTTAGTTGTTCTCTTAAACACAATTTGCTCACATTACTCTAAATTGGCTGAAACCAAGGCTGACAGTAGACTCCCTCTAAAGAATGTAAGAACAGATCTTACAAACGTATTCATAACCCCAGCCAGGCCTCCTCCTGTCCTGCTACATGGTCAAAATCCAATTCTTCCAACCAGATCTGCAAAACAGAATTACACGTAGTGTGCCTTCAGGAAAGAGCTTGAAATTCTAGTTCACCCATCCCAGCTGCAAGCTTTGCAACAGTTGTGGGAAGACAGTCATTGCAAACATTGCTAAGAGAATTATGCTATGGTTTCTGTAAGTGTTTATGACCACTGGGTTAAATATAGTTTAGAGGTTGAGACTCTGCTACTTTTGCTCAAGAACGATCAAAATGATACAAATCAGCAAGCTTTAAAGAAACTTTCCTCACCCTATCTGATGCTTCAGCAGACATCCAGCATTTTCCATATATCAACTTATGCCTCTATACACCCAGAGCACTACCATCATTACTGCTGAACATGCTCTGAAGTCATTCCAAAACATAAAATCAGTAAGGTGCCCCCACTGCAAGGCCAAACAGCTGATAGTCTGTTAAATGAATTCAGGCAGATCAGCTTTTAGAAAACAGAATAAACCAAATGAGAAAACTATGCCTTCATGGAAGTTGTGATGAAAATTCATTCTAGTAGGACTGTTTGCTCATATAACAATCTACTGAACGATCCCTAGTCTGGGGACCAGCTACCTGGAAGGTGTGCTAGCTTCTACTATGTCTAGTCTGGTGAAATTGCTTCTGCTAGGTTGATGCTGCAGCTGTTATTACTTCAATTACATTCCCAGTGACCTATTCTCTGCACAGGTATATACATTAAATATACTCAGACAATTCATCTGTAACACCACTGCCTCATCTATGCTCTCAAAAAGGCTGATGATGGAGAGGTGGTGACAGACTATTCCAGATTCAGCTTAACTTGATCACCAAGGCATTACAAGTACCAGCTGTCCAAGTATAATAGTCAAGGCTCAGCTTGAACCATAAATGCTTCACTTGTTCTCCAAGTCACATGAGGAAGCTGATGCTCATCCTAAGAGCTTCCTGAAGCTAGTTTGGAACAAATTCTACATGCATAAGGGCTCTTGTTAAGTCCAAGAGAAGGTTGCTTCAGCTTTACCTATCTGTAAGAGCACAACTTCTCAGTTGGAACTCTCCTGACTTACAAGTTGACTAGTTAAAAAGAAGAGTTCTTGAATGAACTTATCTTCATTGAAGATGACTGTTATTCAGGCGCTTCAGAGGTCATTGTTGCTAACACTGTAGCCTCCAACCAGCTAAGTTTTTTTGCATAGCAAGCAGGACAAGCTGCCCAAAGGGCCGCTGGCAGCTTCTATTCCTTGTCATAGGCCAAAGCCTGCATCCTTTCTCCCTGACCTCACATCTGATCAGAGCACTCCGCACAGCTGACTACATGAAATTAGCATGTGACATGTAGTGAAGAGAGTGCTTTGTCAGGTTGTAGCTGAGCATCAGTAGCATTGCTACTAGTCACCATGAATGTTCCTCATTAACAGCAGTTGCAAACACCATTGTTTTTGCCCAGGAGAAAGGTCACTTTAGCCTTTGATTACAACATAGGACTCTTCTATTCAGTGCTCAGTTACTTCAAGAATCTGCCTCCCCTTCTGTGATCCTTTCCCCCTCCCCCCCCCCATAAAGGGGCAGCAAGAGACCTGTCAAATGCATTAAATTAAGCCACAGGAGTCTGTTACAGCAATGTAGTGAGGAAGTTTTATTTGGAAACATTGTATAACTTTGTAACCCAACACTGGGTGCACGACTTTGATGCCGGAGCATATGCTTTTACTACTGGAAACACAGGAGTGTTTCTGACAATTGCTGTAATATAACACAAACAATTCTCATACTCCAATATCAGGACACTACAGCAATCTTTAGAATCAAAATTACAACCAAGGAATTCTCTGCACTTACAATTGACCCCACAGTGTAATAATCTACCTATATATAAGATTAGTATATATAGCATGGGAAATTGAAAATCCTTGCTCCATAGATGTATGAACATGTCAAGTCTTTTATAAATAAACATCCAGTGAAGAGAAAAAATTACACTTCTAGTTCATATTTATACATAAAGTACTAACAGCAAATGGGTGGAAAATTGCACACAGGCCACCCCAAGCCGTACAGCAGGCTTGGAGCAGCCCATCCAATTTAATATTGAAGTACACACAGGACAGACAAGTCACTAACATACATTGCGCATTTACAAGAGATCAACTACCAAATTGGGACAACTGTACACATTGGAGAGACCATTTTCATTCTGGAGCTTTTTTTAAATGTGGATTTGTTATATCTCTTTACATCATACTGTGACATTTACTTTGTGGAGAGAATAAGGGCAACAATGAGGCCATAGAGACCCAAAACTTCAGCGAAGATCAAAATCAGGATCATGCCCACAAATAACCGAGGCTGCTGTGCTGTTCCCCGTACACCTGCATCACCCACAATGCCAATGGCAAAGCCAGCAGCCAGACCACTGAGGCCCACACTCAAGCCAGCACCCAGCTGAAGAAAGCTCCTGTAGGACAGAGATGAGAAAAGTTTCAGTGGCAAGCAACAGGAAACCCAACCCTTTAACTTCAGGCTAGTCAGTTCTTTGCTCTCCCCAAAGTGAATTTAAAGATTAACAACAATTAAAGGGAGCCTCTTTCTTGCAGCAAAGATCTTCCATGCTCATACTCTTAAGCAAGCAGTCTCATTAAGTACTGAAGCTAGATGTCTCAAAAAGCACATACTCCAAGAATCGGGAGCTATGCAAGGTCTTGATCAGCTGACGTTCAAGTATGCCGCATGAACTAAGCTCAGCTATTGGGCCTACATGTTTGCACAGCCACCTGGCCTGCCTGTAGTCACTGGGGTCAGCACCAGGCTTAGCATGCTGCTAGAACTTTACTTATTCCAGCCATGTGGGCTGGCATTTGCAGTAATGCCTATCCCACTAGGCTAGGCAGCCTATTAACAGCTGTTTGTTTCCTACCTTCAGCAACCTTATTACCATAGCACATCTGGATAATCAAGTCTCTTGCACTGCAATACAGGGAAGTTGCACATGAGCCCGACACACATGTGCCGGTCAGTGAATAGCCTGGTTTCCCAGACTGGGGTACCTGAGCAGCAGTCCCTATCGGTATCTGACCATCTGGTACCCAAGAAGGAGCATCTGAACCTGCTGTTTCCTCAGATCAAGGCTGAATGTGATTAGGCCAACCATAAGGCTCATGAGCTATAGCTTGCACCATGACACAGCTGTCTGTTCTGTTCGACATCTCAGAGGCCTTGTGCTGTTCTGACAAGGTTCAAGCTTGCTCCAGCTATTCTCAAAAGCCAGAAGTAGATTAAGTTTTAAGACTGTAGCAGGTGTAGAGGCACCACGTATAGCTTGAGGATTGGCTTACCACATGTAGAAAGAGCGAGCAATATTAATTATTCATATGCATCTCCAAGGCAACAGCTAAACTATTTAGACAGTCTGATTAACTCCTTGAAAGACCTGTCTATTCCAGGTCTAGAATCTGGCTCCATGAAACAACCTTACATCCTATCCTAGGACCACCTGAACACTGTTTCTTCCAAGCCAAAAGCCACTGCACTATCTCTAGCAATGGGATGTCTGATTTGTTAGCTAATATGGCAAACTAGTCAGCATCCCTACCACTGAAGGTAAGGCATTAAGCAGGACAGTTGAAATCCAGTCCAGACTCCGGAACCCTGGTTTGGATCATTTAGCATTAACACTGAACTGCACTGCCAGTCTTGCTTGTGATATCGTTTAGGTGACACTCACCTGTTTGGAAATGGCAAAATAGTGATTAAGACAAACTTAGAACTGACAGATGTAGTACAAACTTACTTGAATAGTGTGATAGAAGGTGAGAGGGCATTGGCAATGAGGACTGCCACTACCAGGCCATAGATGGCTATAATACCCGCCATGACAACAGGGATGATTGACTTCATGATCAGCTCAGGCCTCATGACGGACATGGCTGCAATACCTGTGCCACTCTTTGCTGTTCCATAAGCAGCTCCCAAGGCTGGAAGAGAAAAAATCATCATGTTAAACATACCCCCAAACACCATCTCTTGCATTAGACTGCAGTATTAGAACTGTTGAGTCAGCACAGGGAAGAATTGTGCAAGTCTAACAGTCACTTGACTGCTTGGTTTGTCTGCCGGGAATAATCCTCTGAAGGATGGGAAGTGACTTGTCCATAGTTCTAGATTGAAACTAGATAAGAGGGTGCTGTTCTGGTATCTGATAAAAAACACTTTCTCCAACCTAGTTAGCTTCATGTCAGGGAATGTGCTCAAGTACAGAGATCCATTCCCCATATAGGGACCAAGGCTTAGTGTCTAAATTTGACCTTGTTACTCCAGAGTTTGTCTCCTCAGGAAGCCCATATTGCAGAGGCTCTGTTCAGCTAAATTACAGAGGAAATGCAGCAGGACATGCCTGTTACTGCAGCAGGATGTAATGAAGCTAAGTTTCTTATAGTCACTGAACTTTAAGCTACTTGAGCAGAGTTCTTGAATGCACTGATGTTTAAACAAGTTGTATCCTGTCAGCATCCTTCATAAGTCTTTCATCACAAAGCCGGCTTGGCCCATGGTTTGGACTGAGCTTAAATATGCAGTTTCAGCTGCATCAGACATACTGAGATAGCAATGAATGTGCATGCTATTGCTGCACTTCATGCCTTGGTAGAAGGACACTGTTTAGCCAATAGCCCTACTTGTGAAGGATTCAAGTCCAAACACTTAATAAGGCAACTAATGGAATCAGAGTTAAGAGGGGTGTAGCTTGTGGATTAGAGGACTACAACAGCCTTGATCCTAAAGTTCAAGGAAGTATAGGATCACCTACCAGATACATTACCTGAGCATGCAGAGACAAACCAGACTTTGGGTTCCTGGCTTAACCAACTACATCACAGGCTTATTACCTCTAAAAAAGAGCTGCTGGATTTAAGAGTCCCGTAGTCCTATCCCACAAATATCTTCTGCCTTGAAAACTTAAATTAGTATCACAAAAGCTTCAATGAATGTTTCATGCTTTGACTCCAAAGTACTTGGAAAGAACCACTGTCCTTTCAAGCTTACCCTGGAGTAAGTTAAGAGCCCTGTAACTGGACATCCCCCAGCTGCGTGGACTGAAACTTGGGACTGCACTCATTGCCACTGAAGAGATGATATGCAGGTTAGCAGCCATCCAGGACTAATTACTTGAAACAGCATGACCCAGCTATTTGGAAGGGGAACCTCCTTTTCAGATATGATCAGGAGGATATTCAAATGTGACAGTCCTGTTTAATCTGCATGAAACTGTGCTCTTGCCTGCTCTAAAAGGCTATGGGAAGTAGCCAAAGCTATGACTCTTTCAAATACTGCAAGTCTCTGAACAGTGAAGGGATTTGACTTTGTTCAACCCACTTCAAACCACCAAGTTTCTGCACTCCTTTCTAAAAAGGCAGAATTGCTTTTTCCACAGTGAGGATTTTCTGCTCCTCTTACACTAGTGTCAGTGTGAAATGGTACAGCTCGCCTGGAAGAGTTGCCAGAAGGTATTCACCAGGTTTATGATGTTATGGTTTCCTGCTTCACATTCAGCATCTACATAAATTCTGCTCTCAAGCAGTCAAGAACTGAGTAGTAGTCCTCCCACCTCTGCGCTAGATCTTCAGAAGATTAATAAAGGTAACATCACTGCACTAACACAAGATTCATGGTCAGAAGACACTTTGGTTTTTAGTTATCCCAGCCTGAAGGGAAAGTCTCAAATCCACTGCAGATTGGTTCTGTACCAGCACAGCTTTGGTACCTTCTGCAGCCTGGTTTCTCTTCTAGTCAAAATCCTGATTACCACTGAGACAGAATAGCCTCAGTTCTAAATCACACCAAACAACTCCTTACGTCTATTAAGAGTCTAGTTTACTAGGAAGTCAGAGCCAAGAGCAGGAAATAGATTTCACCTGGAGATTTAAGCTATGAGCCTGGAAACCAGTGCACATTCTTAACCTAGCAAAACCAGTGGCAGTAGTGAAGTGCCTATCCCTCAGGAGGTCTAGGAAGATAGAAGTTACCCTATATCTAACTTGGATCAGGAGCTTTCTCTTCTAGAAGAGGCATCCTCCAGGGACAGTAAGTATGTGGAATCAAGATTCAGGCTACCTACTTCTAGACTGACCAGAGCATCTAGTAAAAGCCATTCGTGGCTGGAAGCTTTCGCAACTCTGTGCACAAAAGTAGAGGCTTGAGAAGGAAAGGAATTTCACTGTTTAAGACTAGATCCGTCATTACTTCCTCCAAGCCTGAAGTTACTTAAACATGTTAAGTTAACGCGGTGATAAATTACAGAAACTGATGTTGTAATACTGGCTACAGAAAGCCAGTCTGCTTAAGCTTTTGGGGAGGGGAAGATTAGATCAACTGAGAATTCAAACTTGCTTTGATCTAGGGCAGAAGCAAATACTTATACCTTAATTTGTTAAGCTGTCTAGACAGACTTTTAGCCTACAGAGACTCTGTGGCAGCTAGTTGTCACAGCTTCCAGCTTTAGATAGTTCTGAAGAGCTATTATACTGCTTGTGTGTGTGTAGGAAATCACAGCCTCAATAGGGCTTGGCACATCTGCCCCCAGTGAAGTCTTGTGTAAGCCTACTGATCAGTAGGCTTACACTGGAGTCTCCTGTAGCTGCAACTCCTACAGGAGAACTAGTCTTCTTGTGCTTCACTAAACTGAAAAAAAGAGATCCCTGCACCTTTGGCAATACTACATTCCAGGTGGCAGATGCTATATCCACCTCCTACCATGACACAACCATCCATGTCATGGCTCTTCAGCTGTGGGTCACTTAACACTCACTTAACCACTCAGGTCAGCTCTCACATCTCTCTTGAGAACTGTGAATGTTTGAAGCACAGTACTTCATACATATCCTACATTTAGAATACCCTTGATGAGTTAGAAGGATATGGCTTCTGAAGCCTGCTCAGTGAATAAGGTTTGAAGAGATGTATACAGAAGACTGAAAATGGAACAAGAGTTGCATTTATCATTGTTACACACAGACTCATTGCTTCAGATCATATAGCTCCATCTCTAGTATTTAAGACCATTTACACTGTAACATTACAGCATGTATTTACACTTTACCTGGCAATGGAAGAACAGCATCTTGCCTACCTAGCTTCAATATTGAAGGAAGCTATGCTGGTTTATAGACCAGATAGCACAAATCCTGGTTATTAACAGTATTTTTCTAGCTTCAGTGGTGTAGTAGTACAGTGAGGCTGTGCCTTACGTATCATTCAAGGCCACCTACTCCCAGGAAGCCTGTTTCAAAAGGTTATCTTCATTTTGAAAGACCTCTGAAGGGCAATGGCTTGAACTCTGAAGCCAGAGTTGCTTTAGTACTGCTGTTGGGGGCAAGATGCAGGTCCGTGAGGCTCTGGATATGCTGCCCGGCACCTCTCCATAGCTGTTACTTACTGTTAGTCCAAAGGGGTAATAGAAGTATTATAGCAGTGCAGTTCCACAAGGAAGAATGCACTAGCAAGAGACTTGGCATACAAGCAACAGCTTCAGCAAGGACTGAAGTAAGACTAGTTACAACTTCAGTAAAGTCTTGACAATGGTAAATCTTTATCTGATAGTCTATTATTACTCAACTAGCATCTGTTTTAGAGCAAGTACTAGTCTAAGTACTAGGAGCACTCTTTTGTGGCTATAGTTACAGTCCTCAATGAGGTCATGCACTGAACATGTTGATCTACTTGAAGCTAAGCTAACATGCCTGCTACCTCATATGTAGTAAGAGGCCATTACCAAACACCTTGAATTAGTTCTGCAAAGTTCTGCAGCCAGCTATTTACCACTGGATAGTGACTACATTATTAATAGTCTCCAAGTAAAAGAAGTATTTGCATAGATACAGCTTCCTACAGCCTCCGCTGTTGCAGTACTTGCAGTACATTCAGACACACTTAGTCCAAGAATACCAGAGGTTTAGAGCCTGTCATGCACACCTCAGCAGCCATTGAGTCCATTCAGAGCCAGTGATTGCTCTTGTTTCTCACCACACTTGAACAGGTTTCCCACACAGCTATAATAAAGGAGAGACTTCCAGAGCACTAATAACAGTGTTGTCTTGCATTAGCAAATGAGCTAGTAATACAAGATATCATGGGTTACTATCATAGCAGAAGCCTGAAACACTGTTTCTTGGATGAAGACTCACATCTGGAGCCATGATTAATCCAGTATTGAATGGGCTGCCCTACACAGCAAGAAGCAGGCTTCCCTTGAACCAAACAGCAGGCACCAATTTACTTGAAGATCTACTAGCCTTTGTTCTTAAACCGTTGGAGAACTCTACTAGAAGTTGTATCCAGGTCAAGTACACTTCTTGCTTTGCTGTGCCAAAGACTTGGGCATTTTAATAGAAACAGGCTTCTTCTCACCAATTTTCTAAAAAGCCTCTTGCCAAGAAATTTAACATGAACACAACTATACTTCAGATTACCAAAAGAACACACATGGATAGCTCTGAAAACCCTGTTGCTGTGTACAGCTGCATCACCATATAAAAGACTGCCACATCAGTGGAATAATATCTGGAGCCTATGCAAATTCAAATCATACTAACTGTAGACTTTAGCTAGGCCCCCATTGGTAACTGTTGAGAGTAAACAATAAGCCACTTTAAAGAACTGAAAAGCATATAACTTCCTATAATGAGCCATCTATTGCAGGATTAAGGAAGAATAGAAAAATACTGTCCCTGACTTTAGAGGGTGTGGAGATTTCAGGCAAGCCTAGCACTTTCAGGTTACAGCATTAAAAAATAGTCAGCTAAGCCAGGCTAACCCAGGCAATTTACTCTTGTTCAGTGAATTTGAGAACTGGGAGTCTGCCATTTCCTCATGTTTATCCCGTAGAAGCAGCAGTCTGAAAGAGATAGGAGTTACTAGTCAGCTAGCTGTTCAAGCAGCTGGAAACCACTGACTTAATGGTAGTCTAGTTTGCAAAAGTGTTGGTTTTAGACGCTATGTTGTGAAGTGTAGTAGGGACTATACATTAT